TGTTTCATCCTACTTACCAAAGTTTTTAATCTTTAATGTCAATTTTCTCGAAAACTATCAGTTTTACACAAAAAATGCATGGGACATAAATGATGTATTTTTACAAGAACTACAACTTTTATTTGAAACTTTTTTTTGTTACATCAATATTTCTCGAAATAATCTCAAAGTGATATTTTTTCATTTTTTCTGACCTTGTTTTGACCTTGAAAATGACCTGAGTCGGCGATTTTCATTATCATATTCGTAATCAGCGCGCCAAACTACATAAAATAGTGGAGTTTCAAAACAATCGGGCGTTTTACCTATTCGGAACTGCACCCTAAATTAATGTAGTTTTCAAGACGCCTTATGTCCCGATTTTGAACATGTGTATTGTCTAGAAAACCATAAAAATCAACTGAAATACACGCTCAACTACAAGCAATGTAACAAACAATTAATGTAATAAAATGATAATATAACCGTAGATGGGAGAAATGTATAGATTTTAAAATAGTGTAAATATAAAGAGAAAATTAGCGCGAGCTAATGATAAATTGTTTGTTGATATATAGTTTTGTTGCTGCCATGCGTGTTATCAAATATTGGTGAAATAATATCAAAGAAAAACATGCTTACCTATAATAAAGAAAATCATCACGATCCGTGTAATAAAGAGTCAAATAAAGTGGGCCTATTTCAATGCGCGATAATCCATCAAATTGCGCGCTAACATAAAAATCAATTACGCTTTCGCTGTCTATTGTATTATTGCCGGATGCTAAATAGCGATGCGCTGTCGACATTACTTTATGTTAATATAGATAGATATACTGGGTTAATTAGAAAGTTTTTTTGAAATTCAATAAAAAATTCACATATAACAATAAAACTTGAAGGGATCCTGGTAGAAATTGCCAGTTTAACGCCAAGACAGAAGTATGGGCCTCACTTGTTTGCCAAGACGTAGCCTATCTAAAAAAATTTAGAAGGGCTATAGTATGGCCCAGAATGATATTTAGTCTGGCGCTATATTTAATCAGTAGCGTTCGCCAGTCTTTGCTGCCCGGAAAAAAAGTTTGGGCCTTACTTGTTTACCAAATCATAGCTTATCTAAGAAAATTAGAAGGGATAGATAGATAGATAGATAGATAGTGCCAATTCACAGTCCCAGTCGCCCCAGTATTGCGGTGAATCTATGGCGCTGGCACAGCTATTTATGATTTCGTGTGTGGTTCCGACTAATTCGCCAGTATCACGCCCGAGTTGGTGACTGACGAGCTAGTCGGGATCATAATAAGGTCCAGAGTAAATTTCTACCAGGAGATATTCTATTTTAAAATAAAATTTAAAGGCTCTGCTAATTAAACAATCAATAAATTAAAAGGAAGGAGCGTAAAGAGCCAAAAACGCTAGATTTTCGTGCGAATCAACTTGTGTATTAGCCTAAATAATAAATAATTATTTACATGACACTGAAGATAGCCTGATAACAGGCAGAAACGTTTGTTTATAAGATGATATAGGCTAATACACAAGTTGATTCGCATCAAAATTTAGCGTTTTTGGCTCTTTACGCTCTTTCCTTTTTATTGATTGATATTCTATTTTTTTAACCCGGCGCCGTTGACGTCGGATCTGAGAGACCCGAGACAATTTTACAACTTGATATTTTTTAATTCGTGCATATCTCTGTGTTGCTGCCAGAGATACGTACGTTACATGTGTGTTTTATTTATCTTAATCTGATTTTATAATAACTACTAAGTAATGCAAATAATTAATACGTCACATATTGTATATAGTTTTGTAATTAATCAAAATTTTAAATTGGATCTGTGAGACTCACGTCAATGGCCGTGTGATTTTTTGACATGTCAACGGCGCCGAATTAACAGTGTCCAATCGGCCAATGTGATTTCGTGAAGTACATATTTCATCATACTTTTGCAGTGATCCAATCGACCTTTTATAAAATAATCCGTGACAGTATTTGTCTCGAAGTGCTTCCTGGATTCCGTAAGGCAGTCGCTTCTGTTTAAATAATTCTCGTAACTTTGAATAGGAACGGTATATTCGTAATCTTCATAAGTTGTTACTCGCTGAATTAAGCCGTCTGTTTCTATGTGTGGTGCGAATAATTCTATTTTAGCCTTTTTGTAAAATATTGTTTTACTGCCTTGCGGATATCGCTTCTCGAAATCTGAAACAGCAATTTATTACCTCTGTGAAGTTGGCCCCCCATTTTTCAAAATTGAAAAAAATTATTAGAGTTCTGGATGCCCCCCGAGGAGTTCTAGAGTTCTTAGACCATTTTAGAAAAAGTTCTGCCATTTAAAGTAAAGAAAACACCATTTGAAAAATCGGGGGGCTAACTTCACGACGCCCCCCATTATGTAAAAAATCCAAATTTTTTTATAGTTCTGAGTAGATTTCAACTAGTTCTATAGTTCTAGATAAGTTTCAAAAATAGTTCTGCTTGAAATACTACGTAAATTAAATTTGAAATTCTCGACTTAGAAAACGAAAAATAGCGAGAACTCATTCAATTTTGATTTTAGCGTTTCGAGCCTAAAGGATAATCGATAGAACTCGTGAGAGGCTATACAGAACTCTCAACAGAACTGCCGGTTACCGTAAAAACAATTTTTTTTCCTGTAAGACTTAGAAATTTTTCGAATCCGAAACTTCAACCATCGAGAACTTTTTTATTTCACCTCTGAGCGCTTCGAGTGTTAATAATTATCGCTAGAACTCTTCGGGGGGCGTCCAGAACTCTCAACAGAACTACCGAATACCAAGAAAAATTTTTATTAGAAATTTTTCGAATCCGAAACTTCAACCAAAAAACTTTTTTCTTTCGTAACTGGCAGTTCTGTTGAGAGTTCTGGACGCTCCCCGAAGAGTTCTAGCGATAATTATTAACACTCGAAGCGCTCAGAGACGAAATAAAAAAGTTCTCGATGGTTGAAGTTTCGGATTCGAAAAATTTCTAAGTCCTACGGGAAAAAAAATTGTTTCTCGGTAACCGGCAGTTCTGTTGAGAGTTTTGGATGCCCCCCGAAGAGTTCTAGCGATAATTATTAACACTCGAAGCACTCAGAGGCGAAATAAAAAAGTTCTCGATGGTTGAAGTTTCGGATTCGAAAAATTTCTAAGTCCTACGGGAAAAAAAATTGTTTCTCGGTAACCGACAGTTTTGTTGAGAGTTTTGGATGCCCCCCGAAGAGTTCTAGCGATAATTATTAACACTCGAAGCACTCAGAGGCGAAATAAAAAAGTTCTTGATGATTGAAGTTTCGGATTCGAAAAATTTCTAAGTCCTACGGGAAAAAAAATTGTTCCTCGGTAACCGGCAGTTCTGTTGAGAGTTTTGGATGCCCACCGAAGAGTCTAGCGATAATTATTAACACTCGAAGCGCTCAGAGGCGAAATAAAAAAGTTCTCGATGGTTGAAGTTTCGGATTCGAAAAATTTCTAAGTCCTATAGGAAAAAAAATTGTTTCTCGGTAACCGGCAGTTCTGTTGAGAGTTCTTTATAGCCTCTCACGAGTTCTAACGATTTTCCTTTAGGCACGAAACGCTAAAATCAAAATTGAATGAGTTCTCGCTATTTTTCGTTTTCTAAGTCGAGAATTTCAAATTTAATTTACGTAGTATTTCAAGCAGAACTATTTTTGAAACTTATCTAGAACTATAGAACTAGTTGAAATCTACTCAGAACTATAAAAATATTTGGATTTTTTACATAATGGGGGGCGTCGTGAAGTTAGCCCCCCGATTTTTCAAATGGTGTTTTCTTTACTTTAAATGGCAGAACTCTTTCTAAAATGGTCTGAAAACTTTAGAACTCCTCGGGGGGCATCCAGAACTCTAATAATTTTTTTCAATTTTAAAAAAGGGGGGGCCAACTTCACAGAGATCAATTTATTACAGAATTGTTTAAGCGTTCCCGTGAGGGAAGCTGATCCACGGATAGGGCGAAACAGACGCCGTAATAAAATGTTATAAATGTTTGTAAAATGTTTGTGTTAAGCATGATTTATCGTATTCTAGTATTCCGATAGTTGCTGTATCTAATATACAGGATGTCCCATTTTAAATCACGCACCTGAATATCTCGTCAGGGGAGCCACCAATCCGAAAATAACCCTTACAAAAGTTGTTGGGTTCGGAAGGGGACATCCGATGATGACATTGGTTTAACCTAGGGTGTACATGTCAAGGTCATATGGAGGTCAACTTTGTTTTTTTAAATGGAACACCCTATTTTTGATTCCAAAATCTAATAGCTGGTGTCAAGAGCTTTTCAAAACACTATAATAAAGTTATTTTTCATTAAGTACTTTTTGAGTTATGAGGCTTGAAAGTTACAGCATTTTGACATAAAATACAAAATATCTTGTAAAACATTCAATTTTCGGGAATCTTACCTTAATACTTTTATGCACAAAATAATGAGACAAATGAATTGATATAAAGAAAACACATTGGTTTTAAAAAAAAGTACGCAGTTGCATGTTGCAAATTACATATTTTTTCTTGAAAGCAACTATGTGTTTTCTTTATACCAATTGATTCGTTTCATTATTTTGTGCATAAAAGTATTAAGGTAAGATTCCCGAAAATTGAATGTTTTACAAGATATTTTGTATTTTATGTTAAAATGCTGTAACTTTCAAGCATCATAACTCGAAAAGTACTTAATGAAAAATAACTTCATTATAGTGTTTTGAAAAGCTCTTGACATCAGCTATTAGATTTTGGAATAAAAAATGGGACATCCTGTATGATCTTAACTGCGTTCCGTAAAGCACATATGCGCGCATATATCTATAATATACGTAACGTATACTTAAAAATCTGAGATTTTGGTCCTTATAAAGAGGTACAGCAGGTTAGAATAGAACGGAGCAGGTAGGAGGGATAGAAAAAAGGCATGAGAATGTTGAGTTAAAAAGAAAGGAATCGAGGGTTCCGTAGGGTTCAAGTAAGTAAGGACAAGAATGAAGAATCATGGTTGCCGCCGGGAAAGTCCTGAATTTCCGAGAAAGTCCCGGAATTTATCGGCTGATCCCGTGTCCAGCAATGGAAGTTTTTTATCCCAGAAATGCATAATTTTAATGAAATCTCAGGATTCATCTCATATTTTTAGGCCATTTCTCGCGATTGCAATCATCGACACTTACATTAAAAATTTAAATAATCAGAATAGAACCTGTGCTATAATTGTTTCAAATTTGAACATGTGAAAATGATATGCGAAGCAAATAAGAAATGTATAGTATGTGAAGAAGATTATGGATAATGGATCCATGATAAGTTCTCCTCCCCCCCCCTTGTCCAAAGAAAAAAAGGAAAGGAAACGGCAGAAAATTAATGAACGAGCAATTTAATGAAAATGGACTGATAAGGAAATGCAGTGGAATAAAGAGGATTTTGACCATGTCCGGTAGCTTGCAGCAGCAACTCAGGGTAGGACAAATGTACCCAAGATGTATCGCGTGGAGAACACACGATCGGATTTACATGCTTCGAGGTGCTTGATGAAAGTAAGTCTCCTTGCCTCTTACGTGTGGGGGGGGGGGGTAACGCTACGCCGGCGGTACTTACATTTTGAACTCATAATTCAGGAAAATATCATCTAAAAAGGTTTTGTAATCAGTGTTTCGAAAACGCCTTGACGTCAGCTACAAGAATATGATATAAAAATATAGGGTTCCCGTTTAAAAAATTTATGCCGACCTTGACATGACCTTCACGACGGTTCTCAAGGTCAATCGCATATTCCCAACCGTCTACGAAATATCTAAATAAGTCTTACGGTTCTATACGCCTACAAATGTTAATTTTGGAAACTGAACGATCGAAATCGGACGAGCGCGCAGATATTTGGCCGATTTAGGCAGTCCAAATTATTTTACCTCTTATAAGCTAGCAGGACCAAATCAACAGACTCGAATGCGACCTATTAAATTATTTAGTACTTATTTCGTACTATTTTGTACCACAAAAAATAATTCTATACTCCATTTAAAAAAAAAGGCGCTGCTAACTTTATACTAAGCTAGCAGAAACCAAAAAAAAAATAATATATATATATATATATATAAATGAAAAATACACAATGTATACAATTGTGCTGAATTTGTACTAATTTGTGCCATCCAAAAAAAATCAAAATATTTCCATTAACCCTTTAAAACAACCCCCATTTCATCTAACCTCGAGAAGGATCTTTCTCTCTCTTCCGATCTCTTAAACATTTAATCTGCAAAATCAAATTATATTTATCGCTTTATTTATTACCTATTGTGTACTATTTTGTACTACCAGAAAGAATTTTGTACCGCGTGTTATTTAAAAAAAATCGTAGTCCTGCTAACATGATATAAAGCTAACAAAATAAAAATCATTAAAAAACGATAAATAATGGTAGATTCTATTAGTACTCAACAGTTGAGGCATTTGCTACTTTTTAATTAATATCTCATACATTATTGTGCAATATATAATTGCAAAACGGTAAAGGACTTTTCTATTCAGTTTACCTATACACGCGCGTTTTGACGAAGATTATAAAACACTTAGTATATCGCACACCCGTAAGAAAAATGACACAAGTCAAAAATATTAAATTGTTCTCTCCTCCAGAAGAGAGGAAAGAAGGAATTGCGTTAAAAATAACGTTTCCTATTAATTACTATAATATATATTATAATATATACATACATTATAATATTATGGGTATTATATATATTATAATATATATATTTCAACCGCACGACGGTAGCAATGTGTTAAATAGCTTAAAAAGTAATCATATCATATTAATATTCGAAATATGTCATTGAAGGCAATTGATATAAAAAAATTACATACCTAAATCGTTAAGATGAATCTCACTCACATACGAAGCCGGCATATCTAAATGTTTATCTTGCTCTACGCCGATGTCTTCTTCAACTTCGTCCGTGTCCTTTCGCGTAGCTCGCGGTTCACCGGGCAATAAATGCTCCCACAATTCAATTTTATTCAAATCCCAAATAATCTCCGCGCAGCTCTTCTCGCGGGGCTGCATATTTATCCAATAATTTTGATCGTTCCAAACACTTTCAACTCCCAAATACAATAAATTGGTTTCATCCTCGGTAGGATTATACGAATTTCCGGAGGAAGGCTCGATAAAAATTGGCTCCGTAATTTCTCGATCTCGCACGCCTTTTTCTTCCGGTAAAATAACCACCCATGCATGTATTCTGTTGCCGAAATATTTATCTGGTCGCGGATGTTCGAACTCCTAAAATCGTAGAATTAAATAAACAATTGCAAAACACAATAAATTCTAAAGATCTAATAATATTTATCATTTATTGAATAATTTATTAAAGTAAAAAACGCGCTTTTATTAACACGTACAGCGATCATCCTTTGTCGCTCTTCTTCCTGCTGTCGCAAATCGTCTTCTATTCTTTTTCTCTCACGATTTTCTAGCTCTAACAGAAATTGACTTCTGAAATCTGGCGGTGCTTTTAATTGATATTTGACGATTTTAGGCATCTCAGTACGCGGTAGTGTTTGTTCCTTTTCCGGAAGATAAGGACAAATTCTTCTAGTCATATCGCACAACACTTGCTCGCGCGATGCATATCCGCTTACAACATACGCATTGTAACCCTGTCCAAGCAACAAGCTGACCAAAAGTGTCGCACACTCGAAGCTATTGCCCATCTGAAAATTCAGCACCCATGTCGGCGATCGCAAGTATTTTGGCTGAAACAGAAATCACGGTCATTAATGATAAAATTTTTATTAATAATGTCTTGCGATTATGTTTGCTTTCGTTATGATTTTAAAACTTTATCGTCCTATGAGAAAACTTATGAGAGGTCCTATGAGAGGACTTTACTTTTGTAAAGGCGATTCTAATCTTTCTCAACAACATCATGTAACATAAATGCTGTATTTTAATGTAAAAATCACAAGAATTCATAACATTCTATGCTTCGAAGATTGAAAGAACACGTTGCAAAAGAGTCACTCATGGAAAATCGGTAAAAAATATTTCCCACCCAGTAGGCCGTTATGTCTGACACTTTTCTTATTTTTATCTTTATGTAATAAATACAAAATTAATTAATCAATTAATATATACATATACACGTATATTCAATACATTTTTATTTTGTATTTTATATGATAATGACTGAAATAATGAGTATTTATTATTTCAGTCATTTTTAAAATACAAAATAAAAATTTCCCAGTAAACATTCGATATCCTATGTATATATAAAATATCCATAATGTGAAAAAAATGTACTGTATATACTATGTACATACATATGATATACGCTGTAGATAAATTTGTGGATATACATAAGATATTTTATAGATATACATAGAATGTATATTCGAACGAGATCGCTGCCTGTATAAACATAGAATATACCTCGTGTACATTCCATGTATACACATGTAACGTATATACATACGATATACGCTGATGTAGATACATTTATGGATATACATAGGCATACATAGGCAACAATCATATCGTATGGATATACATAGGCCGGTATTCATAGTCCGTTCTTATATTCAAGATCGCTTAAGTATAAACTTATATTCACTCTCTTCGTCAGACACAATCTATGTGTGACGAAGAGAGCGAATATAAGTCCGTGTTTAAGACGATTTTGAATATAAGGGCTGTGTTCCAAAATTCACTGCCAGTACTGAAAATCTATAATTTACGTTACGTATATTGTAGATTTTCAGTACTGGCAGTGAATTTCGGAACGCAGCCAAGAACGGACTATGAATACCGCCCATAGAATCAGTCATTAGTTCGTTTGCTTGCCGCTATGTGACGCATTATGTGCTATCGATCTCGTATTTAAGGCCGGTATTCATAGTCATTTCTTATATTTAAGATCGTCTTAAGTCGTCGTCATCGTCGTCTTAAGATACTAATATGGCTTTTTGATTGGTTCGTAGCATTTTAAGACAAAACTTAAGACAATCTTAAATATAAGAACGGACTATGTGTGAATACCGGCCTAAGTTTTAATCATGAAAACATAAAACTTACAAACAGCATAATAATATTGAAGATGTAGAAACTTTTTCTATCAGTTTAATATCTGAATCCCAACACAGGGAATTTAGATAAACTGATTATTCAAAAATTGAGTAGATAAATATCCGAATAAATGAAAATTGTTTATTTTTATTGACTTAAGAGTGGAGTCCAGTGTAGACTCCACTTTCCATAAAATTTTTAATGTTATGAAATAAATTATTTAAAATTAAAATTATTTCATTATTTAATTAGGCCAAGTGTTTTTGTCATATACCCAGTAAACATTCGATATCCTACGTATATACATGGAATATCCATA